TGACTCTTCACAATCTAACACAAGACCAAAATATTTTACTATTTTGACAAGATAAGCAAATATATTGATATATGCTAATGAAATAATATTTAATTGATATCTAAAACAGCCTATTGGAAGGCTATCTTTATTTTTCAGATGCATGTGTTCATTTAACATTCATTTTTGGTATCTACCAAGTGTAATAGAAAATAACGTAAAACTAATTTTAGAAGACCTTAATTTGCGTGTGTATAGTAAATCAAATTTTGCAACGTATCTTTTTTCTTGACACATTATCTTCTCATTTATTTTCTACAACAACTTTGTGAAGAGATCAGCTGTTAAGTCTCTACATGTTATTCATGAGAGAGCTGAGACTATGAAAATTTGTTGTTGTCTCAGATCAACCCAAATTTCTGGTGAAATATCCACTGTTTGGCAATATGATAAAAGCTGTTAGAGGAAAAAAAAGAAAAAATGCATGCAAAATCCTAACTCTCAAAAACAGGCCATAGTATTTCAGGCAGAAAGCTGAAAAACACATTTCAAGATACATAAAGTAGCAATCAGGATCTTGTGTTTGTATGACATTTTTAAATTCTCCAATTCCACACATGTTTTATGCATTTGACCTTCATCATGCAGGCTGAGGCAGGCTAAGAATATATATTCTTTTATTCGGATCAACAGATGAGCCCAAGAGATGACCATTTTGTTTTTTTAAATTAATTTATTTTTAAGAGGAGGAGGTGAGAGAGAGAGAGAAAGATTGAGAGAGAGAACGCACACACCGAGGGAGAGAATCTTAAGCAGGCTCCATGCCCAGCAGAGTCCGGTACAGGGCTCTATCTCACAACCCCAAGATCACGACCTGAGCTGAAATCAAGAGTTGGGTGCTTAGTGGACTGAGCCACCCAGACACCTCAAGAGATGACCGTTTTAAACTCAGCCATGCACAGCTGAAACGAATTAGAATCTAAGTCAAGCAATAAGGTCTTGGGTATTAATCAACTTGTTTATAGAATACCTACTGTGTGCATCCTAAAATACTACCTAGTCAATTCACAAAGCTCATTCTCCCTTAATGTTTAAGATGTAGTCAGTATTTGCCTGAAAGCAGTAACCCGATTTGGCCTAGTAGGCCTGGTTTTACAAATAAATCACTCTACCTCACATCCTTTCTACCACATCTAATCACACACCCAACAGGTAAAAGTGATTGACTAGATGCTGCTCTTTTGCTGTGGCTCCTGGTTCCCATGAAAGAACTTCATCCAGATGAAGTAAGTACAATTGGTGTTGGGTGTCACACTAGTAACAAAGTGATATGTATGCTAAAAAGCCAAGAGGTTTCTCAGGGGAGTTGCCACGGGGTTTCATGGAATGACAATTACAAGGTAGATGGATCATTTAATGCCTGCTGTGACCTTTACAATAGTAAGGATCATTATTTTAATGTTAATTTGCATAATGGTTGACCTAGCAAGAACAATGGTGAATGCTAATAGCTGCAGGATGCAATAAAATTAAACATTATCTGGGCTGAACTGCTAAAGGAAAAGTTGCCAAAGTATGACTCTTTAAGCACTTAATTTCATCCTAGGTCATGTCCACACATAATCAAATGTGGATTTTCAGTAACTTTTTTCAAAACTGGCAAGAAATTACTGGAAGGGAATAGCAGCACCCTCTTTTATACAGAGTCCTTACATGGTAGGCTTTGCTTTTTCTTTTCTTTTTTTTTTTTTCTTGTTTACATAATTTGCCTGTGCCCTCTTGCAACTACCATCAACCCTTCCCCCAGATAACTCCACACCCCCACTCTGGCCACTCCCCACATCTGGCAGATACATCAAATTTGATATGGCCACGAAGAATGAATCTCACTTTATGGGCTGGAAAACTTTTAATGAACCTTTGCAAAAGGTAGGGTCGGCCACAGTTAGCAGTAGGTGATATGTTCTAGGCACACAGACACTGGCATCTAAAGTAATAACCCAGCATTCTGAGCTACAGGTGGAAGGTGGCTATTAGCAGATACAGAGAGAGGTCATCTCCATTTATACTTATTGTTTTTAATTATTTCTTTTGCTTGGAATGTGAACAGGTATGATTGCCCTATAGTTCATACCCCAATTCAGCCTGTGGAGATTATTTATTTATTTACTTACTTATTTACTTATTTATTTAGGGACTTTTTCTACCAAGAGTTGGAACTCATTTCCACCACAAGAGGGCAGCCATCTCTAAAAAACAACCAGAGAGTCTGGCTCTTGGACAAATAGGGCCAAAATTTAGGAAGTTGTGCTCAGGAAAAGGCATTCTGCAGTCTCTCAGAAATCCTATATCACACATGAAAGAGATCCTGTGATGGGCAACACTGAAATGGAATGGAAGGTAGTGAAGTGCCCATTTTCTCTTAGATTCTTGACTTGAAGATTATTTCATACACCGAAAAGGTTCCCTTTTCGCAAGTCATGAGGGCCTAAAGGTGCAAGGCATCTTTGATATCATCACCAGAGATTAATTTTTCATCTTTACTCGAGGAGCATCCATCATCTTTCTCCTCCTCTTTAAAAGCTACATACTGATTTAGGTCTCAGGTTGTTTTGTCTTCTAAATCTCTCTGATGACAGAAACAATTGCTAACTTCTCAAACTTGATAAGAAAGGAAATCATTTTGGAAGCACAAGCAACGCTTTTTAACTTAACTGTCTATGGGTAGAATATGTTCTATTGCCAACTTGTTTGGTGGCCAGTGATTCAGAGGGGCATTCTGCTTCCATAGCACTTTATTTTGGGGGGGGGGGGGAGGGGGGCGGAGGCATGTTCCTGAATATTTTACCCTCCCGCACTCCATTTACTTTCCTAGTAGGTAGGCTTCCTCTGAAATACCTTATTTGACCTTTATACTTTCAGAAACAGCAAGTGCCTAATTCCCCTCTGTGGGTTGCTAATCCGATTTACGTGAGCAGAACCTAGAATTATTTTAGCTTCTCAACTGAAAAAATAATACACATGGGTAATACGCTGTTATGAGCTCTGGCTGCAGACTTTTCCTGCTTTGCAGGCTGGAGGTTCAGTGCAGGCAAACTTGATTTTGCTGATCTGGTCTTTTCCAAAAATTGTTGGCTCTTGGCTTCTAGGATCATTTGGGCAACCTGGTTGTGTTATGCATGGAGGGTCCTGGAGAAAGGTGAGAAAGCCTTAACCTTCAAACGCCGCCGCCGCCGTGGTACCGCAGATTTGGGGAATATTCAGCTGAGGAAGACAAGTGACTTGACCATATGTCATATACCTGCTGCTGGGCCTGGCGGGTCAGAAGGTTCTAAGGTCTTGTATGCTTGGTTCACACTGTGCATTACTTTACCTTCCTCTGAGCTGCTCAACGCCTGCCTCTGAGGTGGGCAAGATAAATATCACAAAGCATTACCTGATGGCTACCGTAAAAGATAATATCATCCTCTCTCTACACTGCCACACACACGAGAGTCGACGTTGGGAATATCATGCATAGCAGGATGACATCCATTTCACATACGTAGACATATATTCATAGACATGAGCTTTTGTTAGCATGTATTTACATATACGGATATACTGGCAGAGACATACACGAATATTTTTGTATATTACATGCACATTTATCTGAATAAAATAGGGCATTTGCATAAACACACATGTATACACATATGGAAATGTAAATGCGTACTCATGCACGACATATATACGTGTGTAATTTGGATACATTAAATTTTAAGCGACCTACTCTGCCATCTCCAGTTTTCTTTTAATTCTCCTACCCTGGAGAAACACAAGTGTCTACGCAACCCCATGCCAAGACGCCTTGTAACTTGGTTGAGTTCTTTCTTTTCTTTTTTTTTTTTCCCCCTTAATCATCTGTTACCGAAAAACTTCAAACTGAAAGTCGAATAACGGGCCGGGTCGGAAATCCAGGCTCGCCCCTGCGTTTGCCCCGACCGTCGCCCCCGCCGTCCCGCCGCGGGTCCCGCGCTCCCCGGGCTCTCCCGCGAGCGAGCGCAGGGGCTGGAGGCGCGAGCGCCCCCCTCGGCGGCCACGCGTCCCCGCCCCCGGCCCCACCCGCCGCGGCTGCCCCGGCGCGCGGTCCACACCCCTGCGCGCCGCTCCCGCCCGCTCGGGGATCCCCGGCGAGCCGCGCCGCCGAGGGGGAGGTGTCCGGCCTCCGCGGAGACGGAGGCTGCCGGCAGGCCGCGTCCCCTTTAAAAGCCGCGAGCGCCGCGCCACGGCGCCGCCGCCGGAGTCCTCGCCCCGCCGCGCTGCGCCCGGCTCGCGCTGCGCCCGCCGCGCCGCCGCTTCCCACACCCGCCCGCCGGGGACTGGCCGCCGCCGCCGCCGCCGCCGCCCGCCGCCCGCCGCCCGCCGCCCGCCGCCGCCCGCGCCGCGACCCGCCGACCTCGCGGCCAGCGCGCCGCGGCTGACCGGGGCTCCGAGGCAGCCGCGCGCCGCACACCTCGCGCGGGCTGGAGCGCCCGGCCGAGCGCGCCCCTGCGCCGTGGCCTCGGCCGCCCGGGCCGCGCCGGAGCCGGGGAGCAGCGCGCGCCGCGCCGCGGAGCCGCGAGCCCAGCCCGAGCGCCGCGATGCCGAGCCCCCGCGGCCCGAGCGGCGGGGCCCGCGACGCGCCGGCCGACGCGTGAGCGGACCCGGGCTGGCCCCGGAGCGCCGCGCAGCCTGGCCCGGGCGCTGCCGCCGGGGGAGAGCGCGGCCGCGCGCCTCGGCGGCCCGGGACTCGCCTCGCCTGGCCTCGCCTCGCCTCGCCTGGCCTCGCCTCGCCTCGCCTCGCCGGAGAATGCGCCCGAGGACGCCGGGGCGCCGGAGCCGCGGGGCGTTCGGCCGGCGAGCGCCGGCGGGGCTGCGCTGGAGTGAGGCCGAGTGATGCGGGGGGGCACCCCGCCCGGCCCCGGCCCCGGCCCCGACCCCGGCCCCGACCCCGGCCCCGCCCCCGCCCCCGCCCCCGCCGCTGCGCCCTTGCCCGGACCCGGCGTCGCCCAGGATGGCCGCCCCGAGCCACGGGCCGCGGCGGCGCTAGCGCGGAGCGCCCGACCTTCGCCCCCCGCGCGGGCGCCGGTGCCCGAGGACCACGACCGCACCAGCTGCTCCCTCGTCCCTCCCCTCGCCTGCCCCGTCCTCCTCCCCCTGCTCGCTGTCGTTGTGTGTCAGCACTTGGCTGGAGACTTGTTGAACTTGCAGGCAGAATAGCCCGCGCCCCCGCTTCGCGCCGTGCCTTGGCCCCAGCGGAGCCGGCCTCGCCGCCCGGACCCCGCGCCCGGACCCCGCGCCCGGACCCCGCGCCCGCGCCGCCCCACTGCTCCGCGGGGCCAGACCCCCCCCGGGACGCGGTGCCCGGCGACAGGAGGAGGACTGCCCCGCCGGCCCCGGGGGAGGAGGAGGAGGAGGAGGAGGAGAAGAAGAAGGCGGACCGAGGGAACCGGGTCCCTGCGCCAGGTCCTTCCACCAGAGCTTTTTCCATGTGGAGGCTCTTTCGATGGACGTGTCCCCGCGTGCTTCTTAGACGGTCGGCGGTCTCCTAAAGGTAGGGGGCGAGGGCCGCGGGCTGGGGTAGGGGGCGGGCGCGGGCGCGGGGCGCGGGCGGCCGCCGAGGGCGAGCGGCTCCTGGGGCCGGGCCGGGCCGGGCCGGGCGTCCACAGACCCCTCCGGGTCCACGTGCTGCCCAGCCCCTGCGGGGATGCCCCCATCCGACCGCCCCGGCGAGCTGGCCCTCCCGGCTCGCGCTCTTCCGCCCCTCCTCCCTTCTCTCTTTTCAGTATTTTATTAGGGCTGTTAACACTTAGATGATTTAAAAAAAAAAAAAAAAAAAAAGGAGTCGAAGAAGTCCGATCTAGAGGGTGGCCTCTGGATTTCACCCGTTAGTTGCCAGCCTCTGCGCCCTGCCTGGCCATCTTTTCTCCCTCCTTCAAGTTTCTCAGGAAGACCTGCTCTCTACTCAGAGCCAAGTCCCATTTAGGAAAATGCAACAAGTCGGGGTTCTCCCTGTTTGTTTCCAGGAATGCGAGGGGGGCAGTACTTAAATGCCACCTTCTAGTGACACGTGACTGAATGGATATTATTTATGTAATTCGAGGAATATATATGTGTATCTGGACTGCATGGGGCGGGGGGTTCGGGCTTGGAGTGGCCTGTCCTGACACCTCTGAGGTTAAAGGCGTGGGCCACAAGTTGCAAGTGGCTTCGGAAGTTGTGGCCTTGAGTTTACTGGGTCTGGAAGTCAGGGAGGGAGGGAGGGAGGGAGGGAGGGAGTGTGTGTGTATGTGTGTATCAGGAAGTTCTATACGGTGCCTGTAAGGAAGTCACATGCACCATCCGTGCGTGTTTATATGCAGGCCAGCGCTGGGCAATGTGTTTGGGTTTGTTTAGCGAACGGAGAGGTGTCAGACCAAGCGGTGGTTTCCCCAGGTTCCCTGCACTGGCTGTCAGCGCGAGTGTCACAGAAGAAAGGTGACAGTCTTGACGCTGGTGGGGTGTGTGTGTGTGTGTGTGTGCAAATCGTGTCAGATGGATGAGAGTGAGTTGGAGGGGGGGGGGAGCCTTCAGGCTCAGGAACTAGGGGCTTTCCATTCTCCCAAACGTTCGAGCTTAAGACCTTTGAAGTATCCCCGCGGGTATTGCAAGCCAGGTGGGCACCCTGGAGGGGGAGGCAACGGCCGGAGCGGGAGCCCGGGGACGCGAGGGCGGGGAGAGGATTGGGCGGGGAACTCGGTGACTCACGTCGGCCCTGTCCGCAGGTCGACCATGGTGGCCGGGACCCGCTGTCTTCTAGCGTTGCTGCTTCCCCAGGTCCTCCTGGGCGGCGCGGCCGGTCTCATTACGGAGCTGGGCCGGAGGAAGTTCGCGGCATCTCCTGGCCGCTCCTCGTCCCAGCCCTCGGACGAGGTCCTGAGCGAGTTCGAGTTGCGGCTGCTCAGCATGTTCGGCCTGAAGCGGAGACCCACCCCCAGCAGGGACGCCGTGGTGCCCCCCTACATGCTGGACCTGTACCGCCGGCACTCGGGCCAGCCGGGCGCACCGGCCCCGGACCACCGGCTGGAGAGGGCAGCCAGCCTCGCCAACACCGTGCGCAGCTTCCACCACGAAGGTGAGGCGTGGAGCAGAGAGTGGGGGCCGAGATGCGCGCGGAGAGTCCCCTCCAGAAGCTCCCCACTGCGGGCTGACTGTTGGCATCCCTGGGAAGGCAGTTCTTGCCTTTGTAAGAACCTTTCCGAACCTGGCTTTACCGCGCTGCCTGTGTGGCGAGGGAGCCAGGGATTCCCCTTTGGTCAATCTGCACCCTTTTCCTGGCCTGCAGCCAGGAGAGCGACTCCTCCTCCAGGAACTGGAGAGAAATCAAGTGATGGGGAAGATGAGGGCAAAAGGCATGCCCCTAGTCAGCTAAATGTGCAAGAATTTCATAGGGGAAGAATGAAAAGGAGGGGGGCAGATTGGGATCTCTTTATGTCTGATTGGAAGCCCTTTTTGCCCTGTGAATCTGTTTCTCCTGCTTCAGCTGGGGTTTCAGGCTAGACACAGCCAAGGACAGACTTTTCAGAGATACTGTTGAAGAATCAAAGCCAGGGGCCCCAAAGTCTTTCTAATTTACAGTTGATCTGGGCCTGGTTTGGAAGATTTCGAATCCCTATCTAATCCCCGTGAGAGATCAATCCCACAATCAATCTTATTGTTTCCACAATGACTTTCTTGTTTTGTGCTTAAATCTGAGATGAACTCCCTCTTAGAGACAAGGCAAGCCTTCAGATAAAAGCTTTTGCAGCAGCTGCCTGGTGGTTCTTTTTTTTTTTTTTTTCTCCATGTGCATTGAAATGTGGATTTTTTTTTTCTTTTATGATACTGGATGTGGCTTTCCTAAGGTACGCTATTTCTGCTTGTTTCATTAGAACAGCATTTAGTGGATTTGAAATGTCCAAGAGAAGCTATTGACATCTGTTGTACCCAGGTTCTTGGATCAATTAGTCAAAAATTTTATGTTCCACTTTAGTTCTTTTTCTACACTTTTAAATACCCTTTTGGCTTAATGCATTCCAAATAGAGCACGGGTTTCATCAAGTTCTAGAGAAATCTCCAAAGCTGTGTAATCACAGAGCAGTCACTTTTAGGTTATTGGGGAATCGGGAGTAAAGTTCCCATTTTCTTGCCTTGCTTTGAGGTGGTAAATTTCAGGAAGAAATCTATTCTCTAACATAAACAAATAAGAACTGTTACAGCTACGTATTTTCTCTCAGTGTGAAGGGTGACTACACTTGTGAGAACAGCACTTAGTGTTGGGAAGAAGTCCTAAAGGCAGGTGGCGTAACAAAAGGTACTTCTTCATCAAAGCAGTTGTACACTGTGAAGGGACACGGGATTGATAACCCATTGATCGTAATCCATCATTTTCCAGCACAATTCCAAGTGAGGTGCTTTTTTGCAGCAGAGCTCCCATGAGAAAGCATTAGAAGGTATCATTCTACTCCTTCGGGATTCGTTCGCTGAAAAGCAGAAGTTGTTTGTTGTCATATGTAGAAATGTTTTCACTCCTATATACTCTGTCAACATAATCTTGGAATGACTGTAGTAGACGCGGCTCATTATTCCCAGCTGATGCTGATTAGAATTATTTTTTCTGGATAGAAAAGTAGCAAGAGCAGCTATTTCAGCCACCTCTCCTGGAAATTTAGCCTGGAAACCACTCTTAATTATTTTAAAGGCTAGGAAGGTACTGTGTGTCTCTCATAACTTAAAGGAGGAACACTTAAGTCATCTGACACCTAAAACATTCAGCTGCATGAGGATCCCATCAGTGGAGTCTGTGTATTTCTCTTTCCCCTAGGAGTGGCTTGATCAAAACGAAACAGGCTACAAATGATTTGAGTGTGTTATTTTAACCTAAATAGCGTGCTTGAGTTTATAAGGCAGAATTTATAACTTTAAAAGTATGAATGTTATGTGCAAAGCAGTAGAGAAAGTATCAACCTGCTTAAAGTCAACTTACAGTAACGTCAGATCTCAATGCAGTTAGATGATAGAAAAAGCCATGTAATTTTTGCCTCAAATTTCATCACATCCATTGCTCTTCTTGTTATGACTAGCATATCATTCTTAGGCCACACCATGCATATTTTGAAGACCGTTTCATTTTTGTGTAACCCAGGATTTGCTTTTTATCAAGATCCTTGTGCCATGCATGGCACTAAAAATCTTTTAATAAATCATGTGATTAAGGCAGCTAGCTTAAGACCAGAACTTGGCTCCTGCAACCTTAATGGGCATGTGTTTGGTAGAGAACTAAGGGCCTGATTCCAAGAATTACCTGTTGTTGGTTTCATTTGTGGGCGGAATCTGGGTGATTTGGTGAAATTACAAGACCAGAGATACCATGGTTATCAGATAATCAACCACTGTGTGAAGATAATGGGACCGCATGGTAGGTGATCTGAAACAGAATGATCGGTTGTCATTTCTCCTATTAAACTTTGTCTAGTCTTCTGGGCAGTACTTGTCACTTAGGAGAACCCAAGTACTCCCAACAGTTTTCTTCCTTCAGTCATTAAAAAGTTCTTTGGCCGCACATAGACCTTTCGCAGCTGCCACTGAGGAAAGAAAAATCACTCTTCCTCCTGGAAAGAGTGTTCTGTGCTTTGCTGTACTGAAAAACACCTTGAAATTGGTTGACTTCACCGGCCCTGCAAAAAGCCTTTATGTTCTCCTGTCAGAGTAGAATATAGAAGGACCATCTCTTTGCTCTCCAGACTCTGAAGGACACAGTCTTCGTTTTAATGAACAATGGAATTATTTGCCTCCCTGACTAAAGCCTTTGAATAGAAAATAACCCTTTTCCCACAAATGTAATTATCACGGAAATATCTGTATAATGGGAGAGTTCAAGAAGCAACTGATGCCCTGGGAGAGAGAACATGTATCACAAATGCCCAGTGTAAGCAAAGGATTTGGACACAGCCCCCCCCCCCCCCAAAGCAGTATTTACTTGATGTGCTTCCCTAGTATCCCCGGGTCGTTCAGTGTCACTGAGAAGGGTGGTCCCAGCAAGTAAAACAGGCATTCTCTTTGGAAGTCTTTGGGGGTCGAGGCTCTGATGCTCAACGATTGTTCTTGGACTAATATTATCTGTTCTCTACTCTTTTGGCCGTTCCTCTGTCTCCTTCCTTAATCCCTTCTCATTGAGCTATCTTGTCTTCTCTGAGACTTGCCCTTTGTGTATTTCACTAAGTAGTAAAAGGAGAGTAAACGGGCACATGATCGTTCCAAAGGTGTTGGAGTTAAGGGTGGGCAGAAGCCAGATCAGGGTTCTTGAGGATGACGGTACTGTTCCTTCAGTTGCCTTTTGTTGTTTTTTATTTAGAAAAATAAAAAAAAAAGTTTCCTTTTAACCTTTTAATTTTATATTTTTTCTCCTTGGTAATATTAATTCTCTAGCCATTATTTTATATTCTAGAAAATATTGTTTCTTATTCTCAGGCACTTTCCATTCATTTCAGGGCAGTGACATCCAGTTTTACTGGTTGGCTACGGCATCTGCTCGGTGGTGGTAGTTGGCTTATGTATTTATTTTTTAAAAGACTTTATTTATTTATTCATGAGAGACAGAGAGAGAGGCAGAGACACAGGTAGAGGGAGAAGCAGGCTCCCTGCAATGGAGTTGGGAGGTCCAGTGGGACTCAATCCCAGGACCCTGGAATCATGACCTAAGCCGAAGGCAGGCACTCAACCACTGAGCCACCCATGTGCTCTGTGGTTATTGTCTTAATGGACACTTTTGGTTCAAAGAGGGTTGCAGAATTCTAAAAACATAACAATAATTCACATTTTTTTTGCTAAAATTCACCATCCTTGAGGATAAAAAGGTAGCTGCAGACTAACAGTAGTTCCAGACAAGATCTGCATGTCCCAGTGGGCCCTACCGCTGTATTCTCCTAATGTTTAGTTACATCTCTCCACCATACTTGGGTGATACAGTCTTTCTATGTCTTTGGTTGGAAAAGAACTCACCCTGTGGTTATTATTATAGTAAGCATAAACGTGCCCCTAGTGGTTTTGACATTTTCTTGAGTTTTTGACTCCTCCCCTCAGATAGGTAGTGGTGCCTAATGGTCAGAAACTTGGGAACTTCAGTAAAGTTCACAGCTCTGCTCTTCATTCACTAGCCCGGTGACCTTGGGAAAGCCACATAAGCTCTCTGAGCCCTAACTATTTCATTTCCAAAATGGAGATAAGAGTCCCATTCTAATCGATTCGTAGTGAGATGGTTCATATAGAGATCTTCATGCCAGACGTGGCACCAAGAATCCTTCAGCACACCAGAGGCATTACCATGGTGCCTTGTTTCTCTTCTTCTGTCCCATTCACCCGCTTGTCTGGGGGAGGAAGAGGCCAGAGTGAACACAGGAGGTCTGAGGGAATTCAGCCTCATATTCTGTATTATTTTGATGTAGATGAATAATTGACAGGGGGTAGATGATTAAGTCAGAACTTCTCTTTGGACAAGAGGTCAGATGTCACTAATGTCTTATCTTTCTTTACTTCCCCACATTTCTACAGCCATAGCTCTCTCTCTATTTGGATAAGAACTTAGAGGTTCAGGAACCCAGGTCTAAAATAGGCTGGAATACCCAAATCCCTTGACAAGTTCAGCTTATTCAACATGGTTATTTACAGAGAACTAATAACTATGTAAACCTCTGAAAAAGCATACATTGCCAACTTAGGCGAATGCTGTATATTTTCAGAATCCCCAGGTGTTGTGTGGTGATTTGCAGCTTTTTCCCCCCCTTTATTTTACTTCAAATAGGTTTTGATTTTTCCACCCTTAAGAAGAAAGTCATTCCTTGCAGATCAAAGGAAGTGGTGGTAGGTGCCCCAAACTTGAGCCATTTTTTCCTGGGTTTGGAGTGTTCTGACTTATTCCCTGACATAAGTCCACAGGGGCATCACCAGAATCATTTGTATTAAGGACAAAGAGAGGTTCTTAGTGCAGCTGGGAAGCCAGAGAAAGGCCTTCAAGTTACTTATTGTTGTTTAATAGCGAGTGTCTTCCCTTTGCTAAAGTTACTAAGTGATTCTCCTTCCTGCCACTTAACTTCCAGTGAGATTTTGAAGTGCATGAAATTGTTGTTTTTTTAACATGTCAAATCTAGTCAAACGGCAATTTTATGTGACTCACTTCAGTCTTACATTTATCTTCTGGAGGGTTATTCTATTCCATGCCTCTTTTATACCCATCTTTATCCATTTTACCTGTCTTTCAAGCTGGTCTTGCTGAGTGTTCATTATCATCCTCTTGCTGTGTGTGCGCGTGTGTGTGTCCTTGTGTCTAGGTGTGCTCGTGTCTGTATGTGTTCATAACTTCTTTCTTTTTCATTTATGGATCTAGGATGAAGTTTTTGTTGCAATTGTGATTTCTCTGGGCACCTTATTACTACAGCCATTCAACAAATGCCCTGGATCATTTGCCTGTCCTCCCCACTCTTTAAAAGAAAAGAGCATGTTCTTAGGTATACTAAGAAATCAGTAGTTCAAGCCAGATCTAGCTTTATGTCATTACATCTAGGGGATGCTACTGATTTTTATGACACTCCTTCTTTCTTTGGTATATGTTGGCTTCTCTGTGAAAAGAATGCCTTCAGTGGAAACAGAGGGCCCTTGAATTAGGGGGAGGAAAAAAGAGAAGTAGCTAAATACAATCCTTGCTACTTGTTGGAGCTACTGAGGAAAGCCCTGCTCCGATTAGTTGGAGGGTTATTTTTAAAATAAAATAAGACCAAATCAGAGAGGGAGACAAACTATAAGAGACTCTTAAGCATAGGAAACAAACTGAAGGTTGCTGGAAGGGGGAGCAGGGTGTGGGGATGGGTAACTAGGTGATGAGCATTAAGGAGGGCACAAGATAGAATGAGCACTGGGTGTTGTATGCAACTGATGAATCACTGACCTCTACCTCTAAAACTGATAATATAGTATATGTTATTAATTGAATTTAAGTGAAATTAAATTAAACAAAAAATAAAATATAAAAATAGTGCCTGAAGTACTATTAGCTTAGAAGGAGGTTTAGAGTGTGAGTAGTTCCCAAAAGATATTCCCAGCAGGTGTAGATTAGCAGGCATAAAGGGACCATGGAGGGTTTACTGCTTGGCCTGATAGTCGCCACTTCCCAAGTAGATAGATGAGCTTTGTTAGATCTTTCTGTTCTGAGTCCCTGGCTGCACCCTGCCCCTGCCCCCATGGACTCAGCTCTTATTCCTTGGCCAACACTAATGTTCTTCTGCGTGCTAACAAAATCTGTTTGACGCTATCATTATCATAAATGGAAACTGTATTGATTACTTTTATGGTTATATTTCCCCTAAATCAAGCAGCTATAGGTTGTTCAGAGAATGTAGATCTCTTAGCAAAGGCGAATCACTTCAGATCATTCACTCAAAGGTTCTACTTGTGGAAAACTTCATCTTCAAAGCACCACTCATCAGGGCAAGCTAAGTGGAAGTGCCAAGTTCCGGAGTGACAGTTTACCAAAATTTCCTATTTGGTTTACACCAAATTATGGAGTAATGCTTCAGTGTGATGCTTCTTAAGTTTCAATCTTCACACAAAACATCTAAGACACCTTAAATCTTCAAATGCAGATTCTGATTCAGTGGGCATGGGGTGGGACCTGAGACTCAGCACTTCTAGCAGGCTCTGCAGGTTGAGGCAATGCTAGGAGCTCATGACCTTTGAGAGTCAAGGTTTCAAAGGATGCTTTTCACATTCAGATGTAAATTCCATGAGCATATATATATATATTTTTGTCAGATAATATAAAGCGCATAGGTTGGATCCAGAATGAAGCAGGTTAAGTTTTTTGACAATGAAAGGACAGGATGTTGGTAAAGCTCAATGAAAATAAACCCAAGTGTCTCAAATTCTATTGCTATTTATAGCCAATTTAATGATAATGTGTACCTTTGATGATTTGCAGACTAAAGCATTCAAGGTGCTGTTATATTTTATTGTTTGCTTGGAAAACAGTACTCCTTAAAATTTAAATTCAGGAGTCTTAAATCAGAAAGAGCTTTTATGTATAGTCCACTTGAATGGCTATTCTGAAATGATGATACTAGACTAGAATGTTTATTCTGTAATAGGATGGGATTATCCCTTAGGTCATGATTCTCATAATGGTATTTTTATAAATTTTCATAATTTTTTTGGTTTTATGTCTTGGTAGGTGTATTTATAATGGTTTATCTTTTTTAAGGAAAAAGGAATTAAAAACAGAAGAGAGTCTTTTTTTCCCCCCCCCCTTTCAATAGTACCTAAAACGGGATTTGGTTTTTGAGGTCATAAAGAGGTGAGAGAACAGACAACAGTTGAGAAGTTCCTTCTCTTAAAATTGTCTGGCCTTAATTACTACGATGCTTTAGTACCACCCTTACGCTTCCAAAGAAGTCGATCCCTGTAAATGCCATTGTCTCTGGACTTGGAGTAAAATAGTAGGGTGTGCATTGCAAAATGTCATCGTTGATGTTGAGTTTCAGACTCTTTAATTAGGAAACTGAAATCTGTATATCGAGATTTGTAAATCATCTAAATTGCAGAGTAATGTTATAGAATACTGTTTAAGGGATTGACATTAAAGCCTTTTTCTTTTTAAGAAATGCAATAATTTCCTCAAATCCTCACTCATTAGACCTTTACTAACTATAGTGCTTTTTTTTTTTTTTTTTTTTTTTGCCCTAAAGTCTGTGAATTCCAAAGAAATGCTTCACTGTTTCCCCCATTATTATAGCCACCTGGAAGCAGTATTCATGTATTGGATTAAGAATGTAACGATGAAAAAAAGAAAAGCCCTAACAATGAATTGTGAAGTTTTGCTTCATGGTGTGCATGTTGACATAAATGTACAGAAAAGGGAGGCTTCCTTTGTATCCAAAGCAGAAGTTTTTGTTTTCTGGTTGCAAACTTTTACATAGGTTAAATCAGATACTGAAATGAGGTTTACAAATTCTCCTATGTCTTCAGATTGTCATTATTACTTTACTGAATGATTTTCTTTTTAATTTTCTTTCTTTTCTTTTTTTTTTTTTGTCAAATTAGAATCTTTGGAAGAACTGCCAGAAATGAGTGGGAAAACAACCCGGAGATTCTTCTTTAATTTGACTTCTATCCCCACTGACGAGTTTATCACCTCAGCAGAACTTCAGGTTTTTCGGGAACAGATGCAGGAACCTTTGGAAAACAATAGCAATTTCCATCACCGAATTAATATTTATGAAATTATAAAACCTGCAGCAGCCAACTTGAAGTTCCCCGTGACCAGACTTTTGGACACCAGGTTGGTGAATCAGAACGCAAGCAGGTGGGAGAGCTTTGATGTCACCCCTGCTGTGATGAGGTGGACGGCACAGGGGCTTGCCAACCACGGATTTGTGGTGGAAGTGACCCACTTGGAGGAGAATCAAGGTGTCTCCAAGAGACACGTCAGGATTAGCAGGTCTTTGCACCAAGACAAGCACAGCTGGTCACAAATCAGGCCACTGCTAGTAACGTTTGGCCACGATGGGAAAGGACACCCCCTCCACAAAAGAGAAAAGCGTCAAGCAAAACACAAACAGCGCAGACGCCTTAAGTCCAGCTGTAAGAGACACCCTTTGTACGTGGACTTCAGTGACGTGGGGTGGAATGACTGGATCGTAGCTCCCCCGGGGTACCACGCCTTTTATTGCCATGGGGAATGCCCCTTTCCCCTGGCAGATCACCTGAACTCCACTAACCACGCCATTGTTCAGACGTTGGTCAACTCGGTTAATTCTAAGATCCCCAAGGCGTGCTGTGTACCAACAGAACTCAGTGCTATCTCCATGCTGTACCTTGATGAAAACGAAAAGGTTGTATTAAAGAACTATCAGGACATGGTTGTAGAGGGTTGTGGGTGTCGTTAGCACAGCAAAATGAAATATATATATATATATATATGTGTGTGTGTATATATATATATTTCTAATATATAAATATATATATTAGAAAAAAGCAAAAAAAAAAAAACAAGTTGACACTTTAATATTTCCCAATGAAGACTTTATTTATGGAATGGAATGGAGAAAAAAAAGAAAAACACAGTTATTTTGAAAATATATTTATATCTACAAAAAAAGTTGGGAAAACAAATATTTTAATCAGAGAATTATTCCTTAAAGATTTTAAAATGTATTTAGTTGTACATTTTATATGGGTTCAACCCCAGCACATGAAGTATAATGGTCAGATTTATTTTGTATTTATTTACTTATTATAACCACTTTTTAGGAAAGATAGCTAATTTGTATTTATATGTAATCAAAAGAACTATTGGGTTTGTACATAATTTTCCAAAAATTGTAGTTATTTTCAGTTGTGTGTATTTAAGATGAAAAGTCTACATGGAAGGTTACTCTGGCAAAGTGCTTAGCACATTTGCTTTTTTGCAGTGCTACTGTTAAGGTCACAAGTTCAAGTCCAGAAAAAAAAGTGGATAATCCACTCTGCTGACTTTCAAGATTATTATATTATTCAATTCTCAGGAATGTTGCAGAGTGGTTGTCCAATCCATGAGAACTTACGTCCTTATTAGGTGGAATATTTGGATAAGAACCAGACATTGCTGATCTAATATAGAAACACTCCCCTACCCCTTTAATTTTCAGAAAAAATAAAGCAGGACCAATAGAAATAATGAGGAAAATGATAAACCTGCAGGAAAGTGAATGATGGTTTGTTGTTCCTCTTTCCTAAACTAGTGATCCCTTCAAAGGGGTTGGTCTGGCCAAAGTATTAAAATAAAACATAAGATTTCTTTATTATTAATATTGTGGTCATGTATATTTAAAATTGATGTCTAGTGGCTCTCATGAAGAGTTGGAAATTGATTTGTATTTAACTGTTACCTCATCTGGGAGCTCTTTATGCAGAAGGACCCAGTTTTCTAACTTTGCCCAACACACAGCAAAATTGTGCCCATCATGTTTTCTGCCCACCACCTATTCTCTGTTGGATCAGCTTGCTTTTCTTTCCAAAGGTATGTGTTGGAACACATTTCTCCAAATGTTAAACCTCTTTCAGACAATAAATATCAGAGCTCTGGCATTTCATTCTATAGTCCAACCTGTAAGAGAGGATGGTGCATTTGTACAGCATGTATGATGATTGCCTCGTGTTTGCATTCTTTCGTCTGAAGCTACTCATTTCAGAGGGAGGTGGGGAAAAGGCAAAGAATGTTGGACATTTGCAAGCAGGTCACTTGATAATTGATACTTGTCCCAAAGGAATTAGCAACGATTTAGTATTTCATGTGACCCTCCTTGGGGTTCGTGATTTAGGAGAAAGATTTAAGAAAAACCAAAGCTCTGAAACAAGCAAAACCTGGGAAACCCAAGATAAAGTTTCAGAGATGATATCCCATGCAACAGAGGCAGCGGTGCCAAAAAATTAGAAAGGGAAAGTGTCTAAGATCAGCTTCTACAAGGACATCTGCCAATTGGACAGAAGCCCAAGCAGAATGAAGTCAAATTAGGCCACTCAGAGTGAACTCTCGCAGTGGCAGGGCTTCCGTGCTCTGTGTCGAAATCAGGCCCAAGGAAGGGTTCGATGGGTATGTCTGTACAGCCAGGGAACCCACCACTCCTCACTATTTTACTAGAAGTCTTTTAGGTCAATTTGTAGGACTCTGTGTCCCCTCTGATCGCTCTTATTGGTGAGGCCTAGTTCTAATCTTCTCTAGCTTTGCCTTGGAATTGGCTGAAAACACAGTGTGCTCCTCAAGGAACAGACTGTTATAATCAGATTCTCCCCAAGAATTAACTTGTGATGACCATGAATGTAGTTACATTTTGATCATGCAGATCATGTTTTTAAATTAATACCAGTTATCTATCACTCCTTCCACCTTAAAAATCTTTCCATGCCTATCCCTGTTGCTCTTGCATAGGTAAGAGTCGTTAGTATTAGAACCAACCTAGGAGGGCAGGGTGATCTCTGTCCTCCAGCCACCCTTCACCCTCACTTGGCATGGAGGTGGGGGACAGACAGCACTGTCTTAACATCTTCATGATAATAACCCGTGTTTTCTCATCTCCAAATACTCTAGAGGAGAGTGTGTGGTTATTGCATAAGAATTTCCACCCATATTGGCAATTCAATCCATTCTATTGATTTTTCTGCTTCATTGGTTCTGATTTTCTTTGTTAAAATGGTTTTCAGTGGTATCAACTCAAATGTGTTCTCTTGCATGTTTTATATGTATATAAACTACATATACACAAACGTAAATAAATACACATATAATATGTATAAAAACATACAAAGATATGTGCTATAACATATGTATACATGATGGTATTTTCAGCTTCAGTTTAGTTTCAAAGATTTTGTAGTAGTTGAGGACTCTGACCTTGGCAGCTCATTTGAGAGACAGAATATTATTACATACATTCTACATTCTTACATTTTGGCTCACATTCTGAAGTGTCATAACTAACTCCATGACACTGAATCCTTTGAATCTTCAGTGACTATTCTGTAGGAATCTTTGAATCCTTTTAGAGTTGGCTTTTAAAAAATGTATTAGTTTCTGAATTTTGGAGGATCACCTTTCAAAATTGATTAAATCGTGTCATCTGTTTTTGTGCTTATCTGGGCTATGTGCTCTCCCTGGCATGGTTTTAACCTGCATGGCAGGTCCAGATTGTTCTGTTCATTTTTTGCTTTTAAATTTGAGGAGGGAGAGGGTGAAAGTTTACAAATTTATCTGCTTCCATCTTTTCATAATTTCTACTCCAATCGCTACTTTAAATTGTACCTCAAAGGCCAAGATTATCACTAGATAATCTTAATGATCCATGTCTTTTCTCTCAACTTTTTTATCGGAGGTGGAGAAATCATTTGTGCAACTCAAAGCACTTTTTAAAAGAGTGTGTTTCTATTCTGCAGTCATATTAATATTAAGATAATTGAGTCACTGAATGTTAGTTAGATGCCACAGCCCCCAATCTGTTACAAGGCAAAAGGAACATAGCCTTGCAATAAATAATTTAAGTGGAGAGTGAGTATGATACAGATGAGCAACTACAAAGAACTAAGATTGCCCTATTCCTTTCCTGGTTTAATTTTTTAGGGGGCAAGTAGGATGAGATGGATAACATAACAAGTCTACTTTACTCAGGTAAAATGCTTTTCCCTTTTTCTCTACTTTGTTGACATAAATTACAGCCTTATGGTATTCCAGGGCAGAGGTTTTGGTTTGGGGGGTTTTGTTTGTTTGTTTGGACTGTCTCCCTGCCCTGCAAATTTCAAAGTGAACTTCTACCTAACTTGGGGGACCAGTGCTCTAAATAAAACATCTCTCAGATTTTAATGTGCATACAAATCATCAGTACTGCCTCAAGGAGAATGCAAATTGATGTGTATACAGACCACTTGAGAAAATGTTATAACCTAGATTCTGTTTCAGTGAATCTGGGGTGGGGCTTGAGAGTCTGCATTTCCGAGTCGCCCCCAAGTGAAGCTGTTACTGCTGGCCCATGGACGACACTTTGAGAAGCAAGGTTCTGATAATTATCTTCTCAATCACAGCAGCAGAAAGTTGGGTTGAGTTTAGACCCCTCTCTAAGAAGCGATACTTAAGGGAAAAAACAAAACCTGTATACAGGATGGCATTTGAATACGTTTCACCATATCTGAAATGATGTTCTACATCTTTTTTTTCAAAGGCATTCTTTTCCCCCACAAGATGACTGGCAATTTTGTGTTCTAGCCACCCTCAGACATGAAAACACTTGGTTGCTTATCTTGTAAAATCTGCTCTGCTTGCTTGCTTGGGCATGTACGCAGTCAGTTTAGTCAAATGCGTGTCAGTACATCTATGTGGATGGGGGAGCAGGTGCAAGCCCTTAACGTACTTTAAAAAAGTTTAACACTTAAGTCAGTCCACTGAGTTGATCTCGTGTGATCTTAGTGCCAAGCGTCTGAGTTAAAAGTTTTCCCTTTGAAGGCAGCAAATAGATGTCATACATTTGAAGTATTTGTTTATACTAAAAATGATACTTGAATTTTTTTTTTTTTAAGTTCTAAGACAGTTCACTGTATAACACCACTGAGCCTAGAGGGTGATATAAAGCTTCCCAAGCTGGTATTTGAGCTTTGATTTAATGGATATTGGAATTTGTGATGGTGTGGTTGGCTTTGAATAATCAGGTGCTGAGGTGAATGGGCTCAGACTAGAAAAAGGAAAGGGACTTGATTTCCCTCTGCAGGGGGGAGGGGTCAGGGAAGAAATCACTTTGTGTTGGTGCCTCCTTTTTCAGCAAAATGTCCAATGAGGGTCGTGTGTTCAGCAGCCTCATTTTTACTTTTTAGGGGACCGCGATGAAGATTTCTTATAAGCGACACGGATTTGAATATTTGTTGAAATGTTGAAATGTTGGAATGAAATGTTCCTAATGTCCAAACACCCTTTATATTTATATTTATTTATATATAATTAATATTATACATACTAATATATCAACATACACTATACATGTGCATAACATAGACACACACACACACACACACACACATATAATCTTTTACCCATATATATATCCAAAGAAAAAATTTTCGTTTGCTCCTGTCTGGAGCCCATAGGCCTAGTGGAGGGCATCTAGTATTATTTTGGTTGTCGGGTTTATAATTTCATTTAGGTCTCTACATTTTGAGTTGAGTCGCTCGGAGGTGCTTAAGTCGTATGCCAGATGCTGACTTGAGCGCCCATTTCAAGGCTGTGTTCGCCCCGCGCCCTGGGCCCCACTCAGACAGGGCCAGGAGTCCGTTCTTGTTGCAGTCGTTCTGATGGAGAGATCTCTCTGCAAACCACCGATTTGCTCAAAGCTTCCCTCATAAGGAGCAGGATCTCATCTGGACTGCATTTACACTGGAACCACTTGGCCACAACACTATGAGAGAATAATTATTGAACTATTTTACTGTACAACTATTTCCAAATTGTTGATTTTTTATTGATTTCAGGAGGCAAGCTAATTGCCCCATGGCAACTTGATGTGAACGTTTAATGAAGATCAGGAAACAGAGTTTATGAAAAGCTTTTGTATAGTAACTGCAAAGTTTCAAGAACTGTTTTATACTTCCTGACAGTGCTGGGCCTAGCTTAATGGTTTGTTTTTACTACTTAAGAGTGTAAACCTTGCTTTAGCCTGGTGTGTGGAAACTAGACCCTCATCCCGCATTACGCATTTTCAAGTTGCTTTTTTACTCACTCCCGACTTCCTTTCCTGCCATCTACAATCAGCACTTTTTCTGTTTTAATTGCCTGAAGGCGAGTCTCTATCTTTGCACATTGAGAATCTTAACACACGTGCGCGTGCACACTCGCGAAATTAAGTGTCTGTATTGTTTCACTTTGTTTGGGGTGGAGTTTCTTGTCGGCACTTGGTTGCTAGACAACCAAGCAGACAAAAGTTAAAGATTGAAAAGGCATTTTTAAAGATGTCAAATCCTGGCGGCCGAACTATTTTATCTTGGTCTTTATATGGAAGGCTTAGTTTTCTTACCAGGTTACCCTTCCTTTTGTTGGGTAGCTGGCTGGCCGAAGATTTTTTTGAAGTCGACCTCTTAAGGCATTATCTGTTTGAGAACTTTATTAAGAGTTGTTCCCCTTTGCTGGAACACACTTCCCACCTGAACGGACAAGAAAAAGCCAGCTTAGTTTCCAAGGGTGTGTTTTAAATCACTAACAAAGTTGAGCTCCAGCTTCCAGCCACTTCGATAGTTATGAGGCAAAGAGGTAGAGGAGAGATCACTTTGAGGCAATG